TACTGTAACATGATAATTTTGAAATAATACCTATTACTACCTATTTCATTATAATTCATAACGGTTAACAAAGATTTGATACAATTTCTTGAAACATTTGGTTTAGAATTATAAACTTAGTTTAAGTAATAAGTGAAACCAGATAATGCCTGCTCCTCTAAATATTTTTTTTGCGATACTAATGAAACGATGTATTGAAAGTTAACGATGAGTTTTTATATCCACGATCATTTTTTTCATCAATGGTAAACTGCAAGTACTGTAGTAAGTTCCAGAAGTTCCAATGAAAACTGTGCCAATTTACTATTAATTTTGAGGTAACTATCTAACCAGTAACTAAAAAATTAAAAAAATGGACGTAGGAAACAGACTAATATTATTGATTGGTGGCAGCACCATTGTTTCGGCAATATTCTATTCTTAAATAAGTAATTACAGCTGTTTCATACAGCTTAATAAGATTTTGTTTATTTTGTGCCTGAAAATTTGTACGGCGCATCCTGTTAAACGTTAATCCTCACACATTTTGAAGGGGATTAAGTTAGACCCGCGCTCTTTGACGGCCATGCCATTGATGTTATTTGTTCTTAGTCATGCTTCTACGTGTAAAGATGTATGTACTGTGTAATTTTCTTGTTGGAATATGAAGGTTCTCTCAGCAAAAATTGAGCTACTACGGTAACACCGCTGTGGACAAAATTCTGATATAAATAGTCGTCTTAAGTTTGAACAATACATAAGACGCCTGGACCTCGCGCACTAATCCATCCTCACACGGAGAAACCTCCAGAAAGTTCCCTTTTTTGTCTGTGTTTGTAAAAGTTTTTTCATCTGAAAAAACCGTTCTGTACTAAATATTTTCATTGTGTAGAAATTCTAAGGCAAACTCTGTTCTCTGCTCCTTGTGAAACTCAATAACGTAAAAGACATCCACACTTTTTCGTCAAAACTTGCTTCAGCTGAGGTTCAAGAAGAAGTATTTTATAATTTGTCGGGTGCCAAGTTTGAAGCAACTAAGAGTGTTGACAAATTTTGAACACATGTTATGAAGATTAGTTAGCGCATGATTAGACTAGATTTAAATCTCTTCAACTTCAATGCATTTCTCTTGGTCTTGGGCAATTCAATGGTATAATTAATACAAATAATAGAATTTTAGACTTAATATTATCTAAACCGAATTACAATATTGAGGTTATTCAAGATGATCAACTATTTATAACTGAAAACAACCATCACCCTGCCCTGGCAATATCAGTTCAAATCCCGGCTACTCTGAAATCACTTCCGTTTCCGTCTGCTCAAAATAAACGATTCAACTTCAAGAAAGCGAATTTTATTACATTATACAATGATCTGCTTAACATGGATTGTCTTGAAAGTCACTCTGAAGTAAACCAAGCACGACCCAGCATGTTAGATCATAAGTGGGTGACCTGACGGAAATTGTGACGATCCGGCTCGAAGGACCAAATGTTAGGTCATAAATGGGTGACCCAACGGTAAGTTTTGTGTGTGCTCGAAGGACCAGCGGTCACAAATGGATGACCACAAATGTTAGTCACAATGGATGACCAAATGGTGCTGATGAAATTATATATAAATATAGTTTCAGTGAGACACGAACCTTTCTGTTTGACGGTTTATTCGATATCTCCTAACAACTATGTACATTTATTTACAAGTGGAGGTGGTGGGTGAGACGGTGGAGTCTGCTGCACCCCTTCTCCTTCGGTCTACCTGACTGGGCCGAACAATAAAGGACTTCACGCATTTTATAATATTGTACACAGAATTTTGGAAAACTCAGTTCCCCAAAATAAAATACAAAAATCTCAGTATCCTCCTTGGTTTTCCTCTAATATTATATCTAAATTAAAACTCAAAAACTGCTACAGGCGGAAGTGGAGATCTACTAAAAATGCCATTTTTTATTAAGGAATTTTAAAAGATTACGCCGTTTTTGCAAAAATGATACCTCTACAGCTTATATGCTTGTTATATGGATCAAATTGAACAATCGTGAAGCAAGAGACGACCAAGATTCCGGGCAGAATGTATAATGGTGATCTAATGTATGACTCTGCAATCAGAAGTGTAAATGCTTTTGCAAGCATATTCTCTCATTCTTTTAGTCATTCATCAAAAATGTTCCAGTTGTTGATACTAACACTTTTTATGACACTTTCGTTTTATAAAAGGTATGTGAAGAAAATTTAATAAAAATAATGTCAACCCGTTTAAACAAAAATACAACAGGTGATGATCTGATACCCAGTTTTTAGGTCGTGATTGTAGAAACGTTTTGGCTAAACCTTTATGTACAATTATTAAGTTAACATTTTCTTCATGTTGTTTTCCCATGTTGTGGAAACGTGCTAGAGTTGTTTCGGTTTATAAGGAGAATGATAAGTCTCAGTTAAACTAAAACCATACTATAAACCAATAGCTATATTAAGTAACTTTGGCAAAATATACATAGTAACTCAGTATATTTCGGAGAAACTGGATAAGGGTGGACAAGTGGATGTAATCTTCACGGACTTTTCTAATGCCTTTGACCCTGTTGACCACAACTTGCTGTTGAATAAGTTCAGTTTCTTTGGCATGTCTCCATCATTTATTAAACTTATTGAATCCTACTTGGTGGCACGAATTAACTATGTCTTATAATGATTACATATCATATGAGTATGTGTCAACGTCAGGTGTGCCTCAAGGTTCCAACCTGGGATCTCTTCTTTTTATATTATTTATTGACGATTATTGAGGGCACTTACATGTCCTAGACTTGGATTTGCAGATGACTTGGAAAATTTATTCTTCTATTGATAATCTTAATGGCACGAACTTCTTCAGACGAACCTAGCCGAGATTTACAGAGGGCGTGTAGAAAATAATATCCTTTTATACATTATTAAGTGCTGCTTTGTGACTTTCACTCGCAAAATAAATCATTTGTTTCCTACTTATTATATCAATGGACAAAATCTTATTAAAAATGACACCGTTAAAGAACTGAGGTAATCTTTGATTCACAGTTAACTTTTTCAGAACACACTGAAACTCTTGTGTCATCAGTCTCAAAATCTCTAGGATTTGTAATACGAATTTCTAAATATTTTAGAACTCCAGCTCTAATGAAATCATTTTGCTTTTGTTTTGTAGTCAGAAAACTCGAATATGCTGCAGTAATATGGTCATCATATTACTTATTTACAACACGAACTTATCATTGAGCGTATTCAACGTCGATTTCTGAAGTTTCTGTCATTTAAACTGTAAGGTTATTATTCTCAAAGAAATATGGAATATGGTGCTTCTTCTTGATCAGTGTAAGTTTCCATCATTGGCAATGCGAAGAGATATACCTACATTCTGCGAAATTTCTTTGGAAAATTGTACAAAATAGAGTTGATTGTCCTCACATCCTATTGATGATCAATTCCTATGTGCTACGTCGCCACGTCTGAATAATCGTCATGCGGTGAGATTTTATTTACCTAAACCAAAGACTAACATGTTAAAATAATCTCCATGTGCTAATAAGAATATAAGATGATATTTTTGCTAATGGGATCAAACCAGTAAATTTTTAAGTTATGTTTTTGTAAGTATTTAAGTTTATTTTTTCTATTATTGTGTTCACTGGTAATTTAATTTAATGTAAGTTAATTTTATTGAATTTGATTTTATTCTACATGTACACAAATATGTATTTTGTCTTGTTAATGGAAGACTGTTGGGCAAGAAAGTTATTATTAATATTATTATGTATTACATATTAATATTATTATTAAGTACCGTGTTGAAGAGGATGAGCAACTCCAAATGACTGAGCCAGCGCTCGCCCACGTGTCCTGAGTTGGGTGGAGTTTGGCAATAATAAGCGATTAACAAAAATAATGGCAGATATACTCCGGGCGGCAAGTAGGTATAACTGCTGTCCATTATTAACATCGTGGATAAAGTCCAGCAAAAGATAAATGCAAACGCCGTCAATTATTTTATGAGAGGTATTTAGTACTTTAGACCGCAATCTGCAATAAAACCATTACACAATTCCATTAGGGGTTGCTCCTAGAAACGGAAATTCATCGTCGATATAAAGGCCGTAATTTCTAATTTTTATATTTTCTTGTGTTTCCATTTTCAGTAGGGCTATTCTTTCATTTTCTTTGTCGTATTGAATGGCTTTCAGATGGCGCAGTGACGATTAATATAATAGAGACTCTACTAACTTTACACAGCTAGTTGTCTCTTCTTACAAACTTTGTAAAAGTTTGAAGCTGTTAGCATTTTTCGTGGTTCCCTTAGCCAGATACCACTATCAGCTTGCAGCCCTAGTGGCCAATTCCAAGCAAATTTTTGTCCCTGGGTTTTGTTGAGTTTTTGCAAGAATATTTTTTTCTTTCAATCGTATTCTTCTTCGGGCATATCCGCCTTCTGATAATGGTCACCATAATCTGGGTCGCATGAGACAGAAACTGCTTTCGCTTCTCTCCTGTTTTTCCGAAAATTTTTATATTTTCGTTGTGTCTTTGCGCGATTAGCTCTGCTTTCCTCCATTTGCTTTACAATACTTCGCGGGCTTCCGTATATTGTTCGTTGAAAACTGGAATGAATCTGTTTGGTGTTAAATGCCCCAACAGGTCCATTGCATCCAGCTTTATATGACCTTTTAGAAACATAGCAAATGCACTTTCCTGTAAATAAGAAAATATTTACTAAATAATACTAAATATTAAATAAGACGAATTTAATTCATTTTAATACACTTACCTCTCACAAATTTAGCAATTACTGAATTGAATTGTACCATGGCATTACTATCAACATTTAAGCTAAAATATACAAAGCCTTATTCTACAGAATGACCAGACCGAATTTTTTAATTTCTTTAAAAAATGCGTTACAAACGTGTGCTAAACTTTGACCCCTCTGGTTATTTTTTTTTATCTTTTAATAAGACAAGTGCGTTTTTAAATTTAGATTATCGTTGTGTTTAAAGTTGTGAGAACGGTAGGACAAATAGCGTTTTTTGGGTTTATTTGCTTGGGGTTGATCATCTCTGAAGCCCAACTTTCTTTCTTGATCTTCCACATCTTCCGTACGCGCAAGCGTATCGTTCTTTTAAAAACCCAATTTTTATCTCGCGAATGTTGTGGACTTCAAGTTTGCATCTGGTTGTGTATTGTGGAATGAAATAAAAAATAAAAAAGAAAGTACGGATAGTGTCGTGATCCAAGTTTATGTAATAATTCTTGATTTTGTATAGTTTCGCCTGTTTTGTTATTTTCGAAGAAAACATGCCAATCAAAATTGCAGGATTTATTTTTATAATTTTATATTCTGGTAAGAATTCTTTTATTTTTCTTGTTTCGTTGTACCTTTTATACTTTTATTAAAAATATTCATTTGTTCATAAATAAAATTTAAGTTTATTGCTATTATATTGTTAAAATTATAGTTTATAAATTTAAGTATAAACTCAGGAACTATGGAAATTAATGTAATTATGCTTATTAGTATTGCAAGTAATTGACGTGGTAGTTCGACTTGTTCCTATATTTTAGTCTTGAAGCTATAGGTACTTAAGGCATCTGCTTACACCACTCAAACTTCTCATTCTAAAAATCCAACCAGTGGTATTAGAACATGCCATTTTCGAAACTACCGTAAAGGTAGCTGGATCACTAAAGAACAGTTGGTAATAAAGGTTCGAGGGAACTTTACTGCGACTGTGAGATGGAGAAATAATCAGAATATCATTTATCATAGAGGGTCATGATAATCATTGACTTACATTAAAGGTCAAGTCAAAAATATCAGTGTCGTTAGGTCAGCTTATCTTTTTTTTACGAGAAGGAAAATTTGCCGCACGAGCCGAAGTCGAGTGCGCAAATCCGCCGAGTAAAAAAACGCCACTTTACTCACGAGTCGCATACAAAATTTTTTTCGCGTTCGTAACAAAACTCAACACCCACCAACTTCAAAAACTTTATATTTTGGAACATAGATATTAAATGTAGCCGTATTTGCCGTCTTGACAATTTTTTCGGGGGTGCACGAGAAATCTTAATCGCTGTCCGATTTCATTGTCCGACCACACAAATTACCACAACACACCGAGAAAATTAATATTATACAAACCATTTGTGTTGATGAATTATGATAGCAACGGCAGGCTTCTATATTTTACTTCCGTTAAAAAATGACACGCTACGACACTTTTTTTCACTCAAATACGTGAAAAAATGAAACGCTATGACACTTTTTTTCACGCTTCTAGTGCGATGAAATAAACGTATCCTTTATAAACAAAAATTAATAAAAAATGTTACACTTTTTTTAACGAACGTTAAAAAATGATATTTAACAATAAAATAATGTTGGGTGAGAAAACGTTTGCTCATTTTAATACAGATCTGCTTAACGCAGATTATTGCAATAAAATTAAGAAATAATTAAAATATTATTACTTGCACAAATTATCTGCTAGTCGACACTTTTCGTTTTCATCTTTCATCTTCGAGCTTTTGAAAAACTTAGATTAGCTAGTATTGCCTCAAACTTCACTTAATTTTAAAAAAGCAAAAAGCAAGTCACCAGTTTAAAAATTATTAATTTAACTACTGATCGTTATTTTATTAAAGAACCACTATTGACACATAATGTACAAATTAGCAAAAAAAAAAATGAAGACAAATAAACGCAGAATTAAATGTAATTTAACAAAATAACTCTCTTAGCTAGAAGCTTACAGGTTTTAGTTCTCTAGTATAATTGTATATTGGCAGAGGTCCATTCTTTTAGTTTAGTTTCACATTTGGTATGTTCAGTTAAATATTGTCTACCAGTAATGTACTTTTCAAAAACTTTATTTGTTGTTTTTCGTTTTCAGTTAACTGCAGTCCTTCGGAATCAAACGATTTTGATTCAGTCAGCGATTACAATATGCAAAATGACTACTATGGTGGAAGTTATGAAGACTATAATATGGAAGAAACGGCAACCGTAACGACTGAGCCTCCGTTACAAATAAATACACGTGATGAAACATTTATTAGAGATATTGGTGCAAAAGTTGTCTTACCTTGCGAAATTGCTGGTATCAGTAAGTATTATAGTAAAACATGGCAGGATTTTCGTAATACCAAAGTATCAAATTAATTGTGTAATTATTTCTCCCCTTGTGCCACTTTGTCATTGTTACAGAAACAGAAACAAACTTTTGTAGGCCAAATTTAAAAAGATTGGTCGAAAGTTGTTTCAACACAATTTCCCTCGCTTCTGAAGTAGATACTATGAAACATTTCCAGCATTTTAGAAAAATTATAAAATTTGATTTTGCGGATTTTATTTTTTTTATGAGAACCCCTATAAGTTGAAATAAACATATGTAAGTATATAATGTTATAGTAAATGTAAAGAAGCGTGCTACGCGTATGTTTCAAAAGAGTTTTTACTTTACAAGTTTTTGTGATGACGTCATCAACATTTTTTAAAGGATACGTACTTATATCTACTTGGATTGGTGCAGTGTACCTAATACTATAATAATTTTACAAAGTCTTGTAAAATAAAAACTCATTTGAAACATACGCCTAGCACGCTTCTTTACATTTACTGTAACATTATATACTTACATATGTTTATTTACTGTTATTAAACAGTATTGTATTCCCAAATTTTCGGGAAAAAAGAATGAGCCGTTCTTGATTTGACCAATAAAATAAATTGATTTATTCATACACTTTTTGAGCCACCTGCATAAGCAAATCTAAAAAATATGAAAGTCTAATCAAGTATGGAGTGACAATATTTTGCATAACTTGAAGAGGATTTATTCGACAAAATTTTGAGATGACGTCATAAATTTTTTAAATGAATACATTTTGATTAACGACGTACCAACATTACGATAACCTTAAAACGTTTGCAAGATTTCAAAGTATTCAGTTTCGCAGCTACTGATTTATTCAATAAAAATAAACTGAGTCATTCATTAATTTTTTTGAGACACTCTGTATAAGCAAATCTAAAAAATATGAATGCATTGATAAATTAATAGACTTATATTATTTTGCCCATTTTAGATAGGTAAAACAGGTATTCGGTAAAATTTTGAGGAGACGTCATCAATTTTTGGGGGAATAAACAAATATATTTTTTACAAGATTTCAAAGCATCCGGTATTTCAGATTCAAAATTAAATTGCAAAATGTTATGTAATTTAGTTTTTTCCCCAAAAATCCCGGCGGTTCGAGTAAAAACTCAACACGGATTCATAAACTACGCGTAGGACTATGTTATTTGATACAATTTAAAACCTATGTACTATGTATAATTTTGAGATGACGTCATCATTTTATTACGCGACGTGAAACTGCGCATTGAGGCGTTAGCCGAGATGGGGCAACACGTCAAGTAATAAAAGACATTTTTGCCTCCCATAGCATACAAGATTTTTTGTAATTTAGTGTTCATTTGTAGATATTTTTTCAAAAAATTTTGATTTAACTGTTAATCGTAATAAGGATCGTAGATTGCAGTGTTCCGTTGATACGGAAATGAAAGCGTTGCTATTTACATATTTTTGCAAAAACGCAAAAAACAAATTATGCGTTGTACTTTTTCGTTAATTTCATCAGTGTTTTTGTGTGTGACGCCGTCTTTGTATTAATAATCTTACGAAACATGAGTGATTCAGAAGATGATGTGCCGTTTGAGGCTGAAAACGTTGCCAAAGAAGCAATTTCAAATTTATTACCGTCAAACTCGAAGGAATTGTATGAAATGGCTTACAAACGCTATGAAGATTGGTGTTAGCTGAAGAATGTCAAAATTACGTCAGAAAAGGAAATTCTTGCGTACTTTTCCAAAAAAGTAAAAAGCCAAAAAGCGTCTACAGTGTGGAACCAATATTCAATGTTGCGACCAACGATAGGAATAGCAAAATGTAGATATAAGTAAATTTATACATTTGATTGCTTTTTTAAAGCGAAACGCTGAAGGTTATAAACCGAAAAAATTGGTCTAAAGAGTTTAGACAGTACTTCTCTCGCTGTCGGAAACGTGACGACTGCATGCCTATTATATTTTTTTTTCGCAGTAGATTTCAAAGAATTCGGTTTTGTAGTTCCTGAGTAAACCAATAAAATAAATTTCCGCATTCATTTTTTTTTTGAGTCACCCGGTATATGCAAATTCAAAAAATATGAATGGAATGATAAATTACAAGTACAGACACATCATATTTTGTATATTCTAGACAGGGGGTAAGCAAATATGTATATTTTGACTAAACACTTTTTATGCTCTTTATAACCTTAAAACATCTGCAAGATTTCAAAGCATTCGGTTTTGTAGTTCCTGATTAACTCAATAAAATAAATTCACGCAATCATTAATTTTTTTGAGTTACCCTGTATATGCATATCGAAATAATTTGAATGGAATGATAAATCACCATATTTTGTACATTTTAGATAGGATTTATTCAGCAAAATTTTGTGGTGACGTCATAAATTTTTTAGGGGGGACGATCAAATACATTTTGATCAAAAATTTACCATGCTTATGATAATTTTAAAACATCTTCAAGATTTCAAAGCATTCGGTTTTGTAGTTCCTGAGTAAATAAGTAAAATAAATTTACGCATTTATTAATTTTTTTGAGTCACCCTGTATATGCAAATCCAAAAAATATGAATGGAGTGATATATCACAAGTACAGACTTATCATATTTTGTACATTTTAGATAGGATTTATTCGGCAAACTTTTGAGCTGACGTCATCAAGTTTTTGGAGGGGATAACCAAATATATTTTGACTAAAGGTTTATGATGCTCTTTATAGCCTTAAAACATCTGCAACATTTCAAAACATTCGGGTTAGCAGATTATATATTATATATCATTCCATTCATATTTTTTGAATTTGCATATACCGGGTGACTCAAAAAAAATAATGAAATCTACTGCGAAAAAAAATATAATAGGCATGCAGTCGTCACGTTTCCGACAGCGAGGGAAGTACTGTCTAAACTCTTTAGACCAATTTTTGTTACTAGTGATCAAAAGAGTAATATTTCGTAACAGAAAATGCACTAAATTACAAAAACGAATGATCAATTCACGGAATCAATTTTCTGTAAATATTTTTGACACTCTTCAGTTAGTAAGTACAATACGAAAATGACGATCTCTCGTTGCCGTTTGTCTGTTGTGTGTTAATCGCGGAAAAAAATCGAGACGTTCACATACAAAACTGACGCTCTAATTAACATAATTCTGTTTGTTTCAACGACGGTGATGGCATGCATTTACAGTAACCCTGCTCGTCAAACTGTAAAACAATAAAACCATATTTAGAAACTGATTTACACTTATTTAAACAGAACTTTCTTCGCCTCTGAATTACAATCATGCAAATGCAGTTTCTTAGATAAATTATAAACTACAGGTACAGGGGAAGAAATACAGTATAATAATAACAGTAAGGACTTCGACGTGCAGTATCGGTCCGAGCTGACCGAGTTTGGACTTGTAGTAGTGTTTTAACAAACAGTTAATTTTAAAAGTTCGAACCGCATCCAGAATTTCAAGTTGTGCTTCTCCTTCAAGTCATCGACGTAATTTGAGGCCACTTTGGTTCTTCACTTGAAGAGCCGAACAGTATGTCACAAGATAGTGTCATGAACAGTTGATTGATAAGCCAGCAGAAATAGTGGAAGATCCCCAATTTTTCTGATGTTCGGCTACCACCTTCAAGAGATATTCTTCCAAGGTACGATTGAACCGTTCCATCTAACTGCGGATGCAAAAACGTAGTTCGTGTCTTCAGTAACCCTTTGAAATAGGTTTGACTCGAAGTTTGCGTTGAGAGGAGTGTCCGTTCGAGGGGATCGTACCGGTATTGTCTGGGGAAGGGAGGTCTATGGAGGACAGAAATGATCCCCGGAACTAAACACTCTGGGGGGTGGTGGAAATCCGATCTGGGGTTTTCCCTTGTCCAGATATGCAGGTTGGGGCTGCCATGCCTTAGTGATTGCCGGCTTAGACGACCGTGAAGGCAGTTCATTGAAGGCGGGTTGGAAATAAGCGTGCCCTCCCGAAAATAAAGTCCTGGCGTGGGGTCGTCAAAATAGCCTCACGAAGAAGCTCCTACGTGTTTGTCCCGTGCGTGTAGACCCTTAAAGAGGGATGAAGGAATCCTGGAGGTTGAGCCCTCCTTTCTGCGATCTAGTTACCAAGGTTGAGCGATATGCATCTTTGGTCTGGATTTTCACCAAAACAGGAGGTCGAGACTAATCGATCTCAGATCAATCGGGTGCATCGTCCGATCAGACCGCCGACAGGGTGATTCCTTGGGGGAAATGTGATCTGAGTACGAGTAGCGGCACTTGCTGAGGCTGTGTACCGCAGGATGAGCTTCCCTGGAGGCTATATCCTTCTGCTAGCTATGACATCGAAGTCTGACTTCCCCTTGTTGAACTCCGTGGTGGGTGGGGACGTAGAAGGACGAAATCAAAATCCAAATGTATGGATAACTCAACAAAAAAACACACTGAGGAAGTCCCTTGGGGTACACCTCAAACTGAAAATCCAGCCACTATGGGGCTGCAGCCTCCTAAAAGGAAGCGAATCTGCAAGGCAGAGGAAGGCTCGCTTGCAAACGGAGGCGGCAAATGCTGATCCGTCGAAATCAGGCCCATCTTCCTCTGGGTTAAGCCCCTCAGGGTCAAAAAAGGGAGTGCGCTCTTCAACCTCCGCACCTGCGGTAGCACAAAAGGAAAATAGAATGAAGAAACAGAAGACCGCCTCTTAAGAGCACAGCTACAGGGAGGTAACTGCAAGTCACATCCGTGCATCTGTAATTGATGTACAGCATCCACTTGGTAAGCTAACTACTGACTAGGTGAAATTAGTACAAAATGAACTGATGGGAGCACTTGATAGACAACTTGAATAGTGCCTGGCATCGGGAAGACATGCAGCCACTTTCAAGGGCATTAAGTACACAGGGGAAATCTTAAGGATAACCTGTGAGGACGAGGTGTCTCTGGAGTGCGTAAAGCAAACAATGCGCTCTCTAACACCCTTGTGGGCAGG